GGGTTTAGGGTTGAGGGTTTTATAGTAGGGGTTTGGGATTTAGGATGCAGGCGTTTAGATGTGCAGGCAGTGCATAGGCTGGGGAGGAGGAAGACAAAGCCGGCAATGCTGGCTTCAATGGTGAGGGTCTCACAACTACCCCAGAAGGATGCTAGAGACTACGGAGTTTACTATACCCATAGGCCCCTAAGTAGTTCCTTTTGGGGGATTACCTTATAGGATTCTAAATATAAACCACAAAAAGGAACTACTTAGGGGCCTATGGATAAGGATACTTTCAGGGCTTAGTGTTCATGGATGTCAGGTTGGTTCTGGATTGAGGTTCTTTGAGTTAAGTTGGGATCCTGGCATTGTGCAATAACCATCTCACGAACACTCCCTGAGCCCTGGCAAACCTTGACGGAACAGGCAAAGAAGAACCATCCAAATGTGGCAATCGCTTGGCAGGTTTTCGGCTTGTGCTTGTCCGGCAGGTAGGGCAAGTGATATCTATGAAAAGTCGCGATCCCCTTGGATAAGTGCACATAGCGCGAGGTCTGGTCCGGAGACGTAAGGTTAAGGAAACACTTACGGACAACAGCCCCAGCCCTAGGACCCTATAAACCCTAAGCCTGAAACCCTACATCGTACCTTTCTAGAAACCCTCTAAACTTTGAAGAACCTCTAACTCTAGAAAGCGGTGCTATGATTAATTCAGTATCACGTCGTGGGCCTTTTGCAGAGAGTCTTCCGCACCAGAACGACCCGAACGCTCCTGTTCAAGCTCCTCGTCACAGGATGCTTTTTTCGGGGCTTCGTGTTTAGGGTCCCCTTAGGGTCTTTGGTTGAGGAAAACGTAAACCTAACCCCTCAACCCTAAACCCTAACCCCTAAGTCCTAACTCGTGGGCTAAAGTGTGGAGCTGGGGTTTTGGGCCAAAGCTTTCGGGCCATCGAAGAGGCCCAGGCTGTTGTGGGCGAAACCTTTCCAACCAACATATTACATCATCTGTTCCATCTAACATAATGTGCGAGTGTGTACAGCAGTATTGCGAATGACATGGAGCAGCAAACCCTGAACCCTAAACCACGGACGATTACCAACCCCTGCGGATGCCTTGCTCGAAGGGCCCGATCAGCCCTTGAAACTAGTAGACATCCTGCTAGAAGACCAAACCAGACCAACCCTAAACCGTGTAGAGCCGCCTTTTCCCAAAAATACGAAATCCTGCAATCCCTAGATCTTTAACCTAGCAGCTCTAGTCCCATCCGAACTCCCTAAGATTTAAGCCCCCCAAAACAATCCCTAAACCCCGAAACTCTGAACCCACAAACCCCTAAGCCCCCCTCCACCTACACCCTGGCATCCAGGCGTCGCTCTCGCTCGGATTGTCTGCTGACTGCTTGCATAAACCTCAATCCCAAAGGGCCTAAGTAACAGTATAGTGTATACTTTCGGGGCGCACATACCTACCAGGTACTTTCTATATTGGTAATATAAGGGTCTTAATAATTAGAATACGGTTTTGGGGGTCCATTATACTATAGCTATTGATAAGGAACCCCCCAAAGTAGCACGGGTAATTATGTAAGCCTCTACGCTACCTTAGTTGCTGAGTTCATAAGCATAAAACGTGTACACTTTCAGTTTCATAAGGGATCATACTAGCCCAAAAAGTCTAAAGTGTAGTAATCCAGCTACTAACCCTAAGGGTCCATGTCCCAAATAGTATATACTTGGGTCCCAAAGTACTCAAATAGGGACTAAAGTCCAAAGTATATCTATTTGGATACATGGACCCTTACCCTAAGGCACAAAATAGCCCCAAAGCCTCACATATTATGGTCTTTGTTGTTTGTTGTTTGTTGTTGTTGTTGTTAGCGAAGGCGACAGCAGCCTGGGCCCGAAGGTGGCTAGCTGCCCCAATTCCACCCCTCATCGGCGATCCCCCCAGGTATGGTTGGGTCGCCTCAAGCTGCCGCTTGTTAGCCTTTTTCCGCCGGCTGTCTCCCTTGCCGCAAGCGCTCCACACGAGCCAGGAAAGCTTGGCGATGACCATCGAGTTCCCGCGTCGCGGCAGCATCAGCTGCAGCGTTCAGCTGCCGGCACGTCTCCTGCCCAGGCCAACCAGGAGGTTTCCAACCACTATGCTTGCCATGAGACGGAATCCAGTCGGCCGAAATCAAAGGGGCTGCCAAGGAGATGTCAGCCCAAACCAACCGAGGGTCGCCGAGTCGACACGAAGCCTCACCACTCTGCAGCCTCTGCACCAACAGCTGGTTACTCACAAAGGAGTCGAAGCCGCCGCTGTTGCGAAGCCACTGCCAAAGCTAAAATGCGCCCAAAAGCCTCAAAATATGAGTCCTTAGAGCCTTAGGGTTAGGGAATCCAGCTGCTAAGCTTACTTGGCCCCCAGGGAGTCCTGGCCTCGAAGTAGAGGCTGCGGTCCTCGCTCTTCGAGGACTCGGCACCCTCGAACCTGCCGGAAGGGGGGGGGGGGGACGAAGGACGGGTTCGGGGTTCAGGGGCCTAATGTAATATACTAGGCCTTATAGGGGCCTTACAACCAGACTAGGCTTTTCGGGCATATTCTAGGAAAAGTCAGCAAGAATGGACATTATTCAAGCCCCTGTATTAGCCTTAACCACCTGGTCTTGAACAGGGTCGGGCTTTGGGCTTCGCGTTTTGTGGTTTTCCGGCTTTGGTATTGGAGTTTGAGGTCTGGAGCTTTAGATTTAGAGTCTCGTGAGTTGGACCTGATGCAGCGTTTAATAGGGTTTAGGATTTAGGATGATAATGTTAAGTTTTGGGGCTCTTGCGTGTCACGTGAAGAAGCAAGTGAAAGCTCTTGGAAGGTGAGAGGAACGAGACGGTTGCAGGAAGTACTAACTACAAACCATCATAACCTAGAGCCATGCATGCCGCTCCCACCGAATCCCAAACACAGAAGCCTGGAACTCTCTCAGGATCGCGCTGGCAAGGCGCTTCTAAAAGCAACTCCAGTGGCTTCCAGGGTTTAGGGTTTAGGATTATACAGGACATGTGCCAAAGAGTGAACACAGAACAATGGTGCCCTCACAACCTGGACGGGCTTAGTAGGCTTACAGCCCCCGAAGTACAACACTCTGTGTCACGGCTTCCTTCCAAACTCGTCCCCTAGGCTTGTCACTTTCGACCCTAAACCCTAAACCCTAAACCCATGCCCTAATCAAATCCCCGAGCACTCAACCCAAGACTACGAGTCCCAAACCCCGCATCCCTTAGCCCTATAAACCCTAGAATCCTAGGGTTTAGGGTTTAGGGTTCAGGGTTTAGGGTTTAGGGTCCTACAGGCCCTGAGCGGGCGTCGACGCCACAACCGCAAGGCTCGTGCCTTCGCAGCTGAGCTTCTTGCCTCACCGCGAAGGTCGATGGGCTAGCTGTAGCAGTGCCGTGGCATAGGCCCCTTTATGTTTAGAGATTAGGGTTTAGGGGTTTAGGGTTTAGGGTTGATAAGTGTTTAGGGGTATAGGGATCAGAATAACTTCTTGTTCAAAAGGACGGGGTTACAAGACGTGATAGAAGGCTTTTATACGGGCCTTAATAACTAGAATAGGGTGTTGGGGTATACTCGAGTATATCTATATCACGGACGATAAAACGACGATGGAAAAGCCAAGATTCTCCTACAAATCCCTGGGCTGCATGTCTGTGGTAGGATGTCCTGCAAGAATGTAGGGTCCTGAATATCTAGAGTTAGAATAGGGTTTTGGCAATCCTTGTTATACTAAAATCGACCTCAAAACCCTAGTCTAACTATTAGGGCCCCTATATTAGATGCGACGGGTCGGTTTGGCGTTTGGCTCGAACCTCTCCGAGATGAGGTTTCAAACTCCTCTGTTCCAGTGGCACGGTAGGGTTTAGGGTTTAGTGTTTAGGGTTTGGGGTTTAGGGTAAACTTAGCTTCGGCGAGCTTCTATAAGTGTCTTGTAGCTTCTCTTAGTTTCCCGTAGTTTCCCTTAGTTTCCTGCGAAATCCAAAGCTTTTCGTGGAGTCTGCCGCGATGCTATACAGCCACCAAATATGTGGAAACCATATGATCCCCTCAGAATTAAGACCCCAAGCTTACGAAGTGCCACTAGTCCTACAGCCCTTCAACAGAAGCCATCCCCTGACATTTATTGGGTCTCGAAAAGAGCCCGCAAGGGCTGAGAGTCCATGAAATATTGGGTCTCTGGATTAAGGGGCTGAGGGTCCAAGACATCAAATTAGGACCCACAAGCCCTAAGCCTGCCCGCAACACTGCAAAGCCCAAAAATGCACGAAACCCAGAACCCTTCTCAAAGTCAAGCTGGAGACTCTTGCAAAGTGTTCTGTAGCTGCTTCGCGCGGACCTCCACCTGTCACAAGCATTCTCAGGGGCTCGTGGAGGCCTGTAGAAGGTCTCTGTAAGCTTTGACAAGGATGTGAGACCCAAAGGAAGTAAGTACCAATGTCGTAGAGCAATTGAAGTGTAGAGAATGTATTACATTGGTATTCAGACCCTGTTGTATAACTTCTTTTCAGAGCCCTGGGTATGGAGCTGTTCGAGTGTAGAATTCTTGGCGGAATTTGGGGGGTTGAGGCTATTTTCTCCGTCTCGTGTCGTGGGCCTTGCGTTTTGGCTCAGGGCTTTGCTACTCGACATTTGGGTTAAGGCTTTTGATCGACCTGCACGCTGCCAAAAGCGACCGTCCGCGCTCTTTTTGCATGGAAACCCCAAACCCTAAACCATTGAACCTGCACCAGACGTGTTGATTCTCTTCTGCGCCACATCCAAACTAAACACCACACTCTGCTTCCTCGGAGCTCAACATTCCGGGTAGTGAAGCCCACTGATTTAAACATACTCTACGGGTATCAATAATTAGAGTAGGCTTTTGGGGGGTATGTTATACTATAAGTATAAACAAGGAACCCCCCCCCAAAAAAAACTAAAAATAAAAATAAAAAAAAGTTGTATAGGTTATTCTTAAGGCCCCTATTATTCTCCCTGCCCTTGTGGCTGTTACTGTTCGGACCCTTACTTTGATCATTGCTGAAGGGGGCCGAGGATACGTTCGGGGTCGCAGCTAGGGCTGAGGAATTCCATGCAACTGCGATTTCGGGCTTGGGGCTTAGGGCTTTGGGTTTAACCCTAAAGCCCTAAACCCCCAAACCTTATAAACCCTAAGCCCTAAAGTTTAGGGTCTAGGGTTTATAGGGTTTAGGGCTTTCGGGTTTAGGGTTTTAGGATTTAGGGTTTTAGGGTTTTAGGGTTTAGGGACTCGGTGCCGGCATCCCAAAGCTCACACCGAAAGACCGGCTTTCCCAGGCAAGTCGGGTAAAGCCTGGCAACCTCCACATCCTTTACACCCTGTCAAACCCCTGCAACCTCGAATCCTAAATTCCTAATTCCTAAACCCTAAATCCTAAACCCAAAGCCCTAAACCCTAAACTCTAAATCCTAAACCCTAAACCCAAAGCCCTAAACACTAAACTCCAAATCCTAAACCCTAAACCCAAAGCCCTAAACCCTAAAATCCTCAACCCTTTACCCCCTGCGGCCGCTCTACCCAAGAGGCCTCCTCGAAGCGCTTCTTCGAGACGGTGGCACCGCAACCCATGGCCGGCACGGAAGCGCTTAGAGTTTGGGGTTGTCGATGCGACCCTAATGCGGGTAGTTGTCCAAAGTAGGGTCCCTTTTAGGGTTTACGGTTTAGGGTCTAGGGGTTTAGACTTTAGGGTCCTTTTTACAAGGGTGCCGTAGTAGATTGGGGACCCCAAAAGGGATCCTATTTAGAGAACTACCCATACGACCCTCTTAAAGAGTCAGAGACAAAAATCATCTATGCATCAGGGTCCACCCCAGGATTATTGAGGATGCCCGTGAAGGGGTTTAGGGTTTAGGGTTTAGGGGGTCTGGTGTCTAGAGCTTTTCAAGGCTTAAACGATTTAGAGACTAGACAGCAAGAAGGGCTGAAGAGTTGAGGATTCTGAACTCTTCTCGCAGTCATGGTTTAGAGTCAAGGCTTGGGGACATCGTTTAGAGCTTAGGCTTGGGGGTTTAGAGTTTAGGCTTGGAGGTTTTCCTATGAGCTCGTCTTGAGGCACCGACTGGAGTGAAAGTGTAGGGTTTAGGGTTTAGGGTTTGTATGGTCCGGTCGAGGATTGCAGCTACTACTCTGACATCACCTACCAGTCTCCAATGTGGCTCCTCTCAACACCAAAATTCTACCTTGGATCCCGGGCCTTCTTTGTAGCTTCTGCCGCTAAGGACACGCGCAGCGTAGTCCTCCATAGTCATGCGCCGATAAACTCCATAACCCTGCTCTGATTCGTAAGGCAACTCGGTTCAACCCCATAAAGACCATTCAAGCAACCCTGCAACACCCCTTTTAAAGCTCTTTCAGAACCCCATGTGAATCATTAACGCCTCTATATCAAACCCTTGCTGACGTATATATCAGTTCAGAGGAGAATGATTCATACTACATACATATGCACGCACATACACACAGAGTCCATTTTGCGACAGATGTCTCTGTCGATCTTATGCGTGCTGTGCCTGCTTTCTCGCCCTACCATGCCCTTCTTTTCGGCTTTGATCTTGTTTGAGTCGAGGCTGCTGATGACTTCCAAAGAAGCACTTGGTGCGCTTGAGCTCTCGATGGAATTTGCTGCAGTGCCGGATTGCGCAAGCAGCCCTTCGTACAACGAACTCATGTCTGCCGTGTCCACCGGACTCCCGGACTTTGTGCTCATCGAAAGATATACATACACATATATATATGTATATATACATATGTAAGCCAGAATGTATGTAAGTGCGTGTAAGTAAGTAAGTAAGTAAGTATATATGTATGTATCCATGTATCAATGTATGTAAGTACGCATGCATGCATGCATGTCTGTATGCGTGTATGTACCAATGTATGTAAGTATGCATGTATATATGTCTCTATGTGTTTAAGTACGTATGTGTATGTGTGTGTGTTATGTATGTGTGTATGATGTATGTATGTATGTACGTATGTATGTATGTATGTAGGTATGTATGTAGGTACGTATGTATGTATGTATGTGTGTATGCATGTATCAATGTATGCATGTATCAATGTATGTAAGTACGTATGTGTGTGCAGTATGTATGTATGTACGTATGTATGTATTTATGTATGTATGTAGGTAAGTAGGTAGGTAGGTTGGTTGGTAGGTAGGCTGGTAGGTAGGCAGGTAGGTTGGTAGGTAGGTAGGTAGGTAGGTAGGTAGGTACGTATGTATGTAATATTGTGTGTATGTAGGTAAGTAGTATGTATGTATGTATGCATGCATGTATGTATGTATGCATGCATGCATGCATGTATGTATACAAACATGTGTATATATATACACATACAAATGTATATGTATATATATATATATTCACACATGCATACACAAGTCTGCTCATGGACTTTACAGTAAACACAAAATGCATGCATCGCTGCACACTCTGATTACATACATATACATATACATATACATATACACATATATATATATATGTATACACACACATATGTATATATATATATGTAATATGCATACATACATATACACCCACACATACTTGCGTTATGTTTCGGCTTAGCTCTTGAAAAAGGGTTCCGGGCGGCGGCTGTACGAATATTCGAGCTGCGCGATCAATGCTGCAGGGTTCGGGATCTTCTGGCATTCTGCTTCGATGTTCAGGCCGTCTCGGCCCGTGAGGGATGCAAAATCAGGGGAGGTTGATATGAACGAAAATTCGGCGGGTTGCGCCTGATTTCAGTGATCAGGCTCCCGACTAGTATCACATGCACTTTAAATATCGAGGCGCGGACGGACCACTTAAAATATCGAGGCGGGGACGGACTTCGTCCCGAAAACATGAAACTGTGAACGCCTGGCACTTACTCAATCGACCTGCTTGGCAGATCGTTTCAACAGGCAGAATGCTGCTAGCGAAAGCAGGAGCGTAGTCCCGGCTAACATCGCAAACGCGTGGTTATCTTCAGAAATGTACTCGTACGAGTAGTACTGAAACAAATGCGGAACCGTGAAAAGCAAAAAGCAGGCAACGAAACCCAGAATTTGACGGCAGCATGTTGGCGATTTCCTGACCCACTGTGAAATCCTGGCATAAACCAGGTACGTGGCCGGTAAAATCCAAGTCCACCACATCACTCCAGTAGCCAGCGCTCGAGCCATCGACACATGATCACCCCTGGAGGCCCGGGCGGTCGCCTTACTTCCCCAATAAGCAAGAAATTAAAACGTTAAACTTCCAGATTACTACTAAATCATAATTTAAAGGTTGGGTATTGGAGAACTAAGTCGCTTGATCCATCTGACTCCACAGACTGCCTATACAGAGTGCCAGGGCCCAGGGATAGCCGAACGGGACCCCATGCACCAGCTGGGCCATGAAAACATCTCCTCGGTTCCGAGCTCAACAGCTCCCAAAACGATGCATGATAAAACACGATAGCTCTGAATCCTAGACCGTCTACACCCGAAGCCTCAACCCTACATCCTAAACCCTACACCCCAAGCCCTAAACTCTAAACCCCAAACCCTCAACCAACCCTACATCCTCAACCTGCACCCCAAACCCTAAACCCTACATCCTAAACCCTAAATCCTCAAGCCTACATCCTAAACCCTAGACCCTAAACCCTAAATCCGTACCTAGTCTCGGACCCTGGTGCGAACACACTCTTCGAAGGCTTCGGTCGAACCAAACCACTGGCAAACGCACTCAGCCTTGGCTTTTGGACTTAAGGGTTAGGGTTGCGGGTTCAGGTTTAGGATTTAGGGTTTAGGGTGATTTTTTAAAACTTTTTAGGTTTAGGGTTTATAGTTGATTTTATTGATTGTGCTTGTGCGTGTGGGGGGGGGGGGTGTTTGTTAGGGCCTTTGGTTGGTATACCTCAAGAGGCCGGCTCTTCTATGTAAAGATAAAGACAACACTTGGCAGACACCGGAGAAGACACGTACCAACCCTGCATGCTCCCTTCCGAACCCCAAACTAAGATCTATCTAGACCTCATGATTCCGACAATGGCCCCCAACATCTCAAATCCTAACCTGGAGCCACCCGAATCTACACGCTCCCGACACCGCACATGCAGAAACAACAACAACTAACCACGAACTGGGCTTGATGCAGGATCCCTGTACCTACGGACCTACTCATGCACCTACTCTACTGCCCCAGACTCCCAGACTGACACGGTCAGAAAACTTTCTGTTTGGAGAGAGTAGGTCCAGGGCTTGGGCGTCGGGTCGATGGTTCAGGATTCGATCTGTTACATATGGGTAGTTCTCTAAACTAGGGTCCCTTTCTGGGTCCCCAATATAGTACGGCACCCTTATTAAAAAGGACCCTGAAAAGGGGCCCTAATTCAGAGAACTACCCCTGTCGAGAAGTTCAAGGACAATTTATGGGTTTAGGGGTCAAGGTTCCCTGTAATGTTGAAGCAAGCAGTGCCTCCAAGCAGCAATCAGTTCGCGATCGCATGGTATAGCGGTGCCGTCGACTTTGTGGTCCAGCTCGCAACAGCAGCACTTCAAGTTGACCCAGGAGAAGTTGTTGAACATTTCTTCTACGGCGGCCAACTCGTTCCAATAGATCTTGAAAATCGAGCTGAACCCTATGCACCAGGTACACAAGCCTATTCCCCTTGTGGGTACACCCACTAGTACTTCTACCGGCGCACAGATATCAGAGATGAGCAACACCGCCGATCCCAAGACGAAGAACAAGCTGGACTTCGCGAGGCCTAGAGGTAGTATCACCAGTGAGGCAAGCCTGTCGTTCTGGTGTGTGTTCAAGAATGCTGAAATTTCGAAGGCACACCAGAGCCTCTGAAGGTAGGTTCGGTCAATGACGACGAGAAGCCGATTCGACCGCTTTAGCATGGCTCCAAGGTTAATGATGCCTTCGGCCTTCAACCGCGCATCCCCCTGATGGATGCAAGCTCGGTCCACGAACACGAGCCCTCCTGGGCATTGTCGTCAAGATCTAGAGATGCCCTACCCAAACATCCCCTAAACCCTAAACCCTAAACCCCTAAACCCTAAACCCTAAACCCCTAAACCCCTAAACCCCCAAACCCTAAACCCGAAGGTGCAACCCAAAACAGGTTGAACTTGGGAGGACCGGTCGCTGGGTTGCCACAGCAGCAAGGTCAGGAGCGCAGCCACGATGCCAGAAACCAAAGCCCAGGGCGCGAAGTCGTGCTCGAAATGGAACCCCGGTGTTCGGTACCTCGGCTGGATCTAAGTGAAAGGGAACCCCAGACAAAGAGCACCACGCTGATTCCATATCTGGACCCCTCAAGTGCCGCAAACGGTCCAGCCTGTGCTAACGTAGGGGCCTTAATAATTCGAATAGGGTTTCGGGGTATATTATAGTCTGCTATACTTAGAATGAGGACCCCCAAATTAGTATAGGTAACTATTAGAAGGCCCATATATTCGACGCACACCGGATGCCACCTCCAGTTTGGACCTAGGCCGAAACCACACATCTGCAGCCTGCAGCCCAAAGCCTAAACTCCGAAACCCCCCCCCCCCCCAAAAAAAAAAATAATAATAATAGTATAGGTAATTATTTAGGCCCCTAGAGTAGCCCTGAAACCCCCAGAGTCTGCACCCTGAACCCTGCACTTCACAGCCTCGGCACGGTGGCGGAAATAGTTTGGAGATCACGGTTGGCAACAGCCCAGAGTGGGTGGCAAAGGCTCCAAGGCATGCAAAGATGGTTCCCAGCACACACGCTGCCCTGCCGCTTAAGGTGTTCGGGCTTGCGTTGCACACTTGATGGCAACCCCGAGTGATGAACAACAAACTGTAATGGTAAACATTCACGGATCCGAGTGTTACAGGGCTATATGCGCGACAGGGGGAGATGGAAGAGTCAGGACAAACATGGAAACCTGACCTTGCCTGCCATTCTTCAGCGCGAGGAGGAGGCAAATCTTCCAGAAGGAGGAGGCTTGCCAGCTGTGAGACCAGAACTCGTCGATGGCTGCCACCTGATGGCTGAGGTTGTACCTGAGCTGAAACCACTGCCTATTCTTCCAACTTGGGTAACGCAATGTTGACATGCAGCATTGATATGTCAAAGGAGTGAAAACCGAAAAACTCGAATCGAGACTGAAACGCAAATGAAATGGGATGCTTACAAGTTTACGCCTGCGGGGATAAGGTCTTGTGACTACGCGATACGAGCTTGTGATTGTTGCAGTTCGAGAGACGGTCGCCTTCGCATCGTTCTCGTCGTAGTGCTAGTGCTAGTGCTAATTGTAGTGGTAGTGGTAGTGGTAGTGCTAGTGGCAGTGGCAGTGGCAGTGGCAGTGGCAGTGGCAGTCGTAGTAGTAGTATAGTAGTAGTAGTAGTAGTAGTAGTAGTAGTAGTAGTAGTAGTAGTGGTAGTGGTAGTCGTAGTCGTAACCCCGTATTAGTAGTAGTGGTAGTCGTAGTCATAGTGGTAGTGGTAGTGGTAGTGGTGGTAGTAGTAGTAGTAGTAATAATAATAATAATAGTAGCAGTAATCGTAGTAATGATAGCAATAGTAGTAATGGTAATTAGCGGTCGTCGTAGTAGTCGTAGTAATCTCGTCGTCGTAGTAGTAGTTATAGGATATAGTAAATATAGTAGTAGCAATAGCAGTAGCAGTAGCAGCAGTAGAAGTAGTGCTGTTAGCAGCAGCAGCAAGCGGCAGCATCAACAAAATAGTGCCAGGCTCCTCCTTGACAGTAGAGGAACCAACCCTAAACCCTAAACTTCCTAAAGCCTAAACCCTAAACCCTTGTCAGTTCATTCCACTACCTTGGATGAGTCACAGCTTCTCCGGCTCCAGCCGCCGCGAAGGGGCCTCAATGTCCAGCCAAAATTCCTACCAAGCAATCCCTAAGAGTCCATGTCTCCAGATAAATATACTTTGGCCTTAAAGTAGTCCCTATTTGAGTACTTTGGGGCCCACGCATATACTATTTGGGTACATGGACCCTTAGGGAATGTTTCTGGTCATGCATTCGGTTCCGAAAAGAAGGGCAATATAATGGCATTAACAGCTTGAAAGGGTTTCGAGGTGCATTTCTGTAGAACTTTCCAGGGACGAAAACAAAATACGTGCTCACTGATTTCGCGGCCTCGTATTTTAGCAACGCTTTCGGCGATTCGTCTTCACTCGAAATACCACACACTCGTAGTAGACATACTGCGATGACGATGATAAGCCGCAATGAGTCATCTCCTAGACAGTACCAGGAAAGCATGATCGGAATATGCCCGTCACAATCACTCGGATGCCGCCAGCTCACTGCCGGAACCCTCAATGCGAAACTCGACTGAGCTGCGGCTTTGGGATTTAGAATCCAAGAGGAAGCGGGCAGCCCTCAACCAAGACTAGAAATCCTAAACCCCTAAACCCGTTAAAGGGACCTGGTAATTCCTAGCAGGGGAAGCCCTAGATCAGAGCTGGAGCGTGGCGACGGATTCGTCAACGAGAGTTCGACTGCTGCATTTTCAGATTTCAAAGTAGCCAGCTGAATACAACAATATCAGAATCCAAAGACTCTGCAACAAGCTGCGGAAAATTTTCCCAAAAGCTCTGCGCCCATGGAGTGGGTACTCTTCTCAGCTTCCATCGCTCTATATGGGAGTGTGCTCCAGCCTTTGAGCTACCCTAACCCCAAATCCCTGAACCCTACTAAAGTACATCCCTGGGCCCTAGATGTAAATCAAACCCCACGGCACGAACCCGTCAACCCGGGATCCTTTCCCGAGAAGAGCAGTAATCAGGCTTCTTGTAAAGCACCGTATAAATCCTCTCTAAACACTAAAAGAGCACCCTTCTATGATCCAGACTGCTCAACACGAGTCTTCCCCACATAACATAAACCACAAGTATCCCAAAGTAGACACTCGCCAACATTCTCAAGAAGCCCTATATACACTTCCCGACATCTCAAATATGAGACTTATCTCATATCTCTAAACCCAATGCCCTAAACCGTAGAGCCTAAACGCCTTACACCCCTAAACCCCTGAACCCTAACCCCTTAAACCCCTAAACCCCTAAATCCTAAACCCTAAACCCCTACAACCCTAAACCCTACATCCCTAAACCCCTGAACCCAGCCTACAGTCTGACGACCTGCCAAAGAAACGAAGAGGGCCTCGGAATAACAACACTATTCATGGCTATATTAGTCGCAGCAGTAGTAGTAGTAGTAGTAGTGGTAGTGGTAGTGGTAGTGGTAGTGGTAGTGGTAGTGGTAGTGGTAGTGGTAGTGGTAGTGGTAGTGGTGGTGGTAGTAGTAGTAGTAGCAATCCCTTCCCCCTAACATTAAAAGGCCCCCCCCCCTCCCTAA